ATTTTCAGGACTGATGAGAAACTCTTGAAGACTATTTCAGGCAATATCATACAGTTTCAGAGTCAGGAGGAGAATGACAATTCCGGTGTGGTGGAAGGAAGCCGGCAAGCGAGCAAGGATCACTCTTCAAGTGTAGCGGTTCCACAAAGACAACTGACCTTCAAGCAGAAAATTCAGCACATTCCGGTGGGTCATTCCTTTGAAACCCGGAAGTAATGGGGCCCCTGCAGATGAGTGCACACCTTTGAAAAGCGCGCCGTCTTTTCTGTAGTGGAGCCAGCACTCCGTTTTATTTCATGTTGCAGTCAGGGCACATCGTTGTTGGGGAATCCCCAATAGGGGGGAGGGGTCGTATTTGGTCGCCAGGAGAGGGGGGGTCGTATTTGGGCTGGGAAAAATTTATTTTGATAGTTGATTTTTCTCGCTTCACGGACGTTGTAAAGGAGGGGGAGGTCGTACTTACCTTCTGTTTGCTTTCTGGTTTTCTTTCTGGTGGAAAAGGTGGTTGGCTTTTCGTGATTTTCCTGTTTCATGTGGTACTATATACTCCCCCCCCCTTTCTCCGCTCGACACCAGCTCGATGAGGAAGGACAGAGGGGGGGGGGTCGTACCAACTCTCAAAAAGGGGGGGGGTGGTCGTACGGACTCGACCAAAATCCCCAACCAGTGATGTGCCCTAGTTGCAGTACCCAATACAGCAAGTGAAATAGCTGACGATCCACTGATGACGAGAGAGTGGGTTGAGGTCCGTATTGGTCGTATTAGGGACTCAACGCTATTCTCCCGCCAATTGTTGATTTGGTTGGAGAGTAATCTTACTGCAATATAGGCATGGAGAGGTAGAGGATTCAAAAGCTTATCCAAAGCTCCAAAAGTCAATCACTGATGCTTTGATTAGGGCTATAGATCGGCTTCTCCTCGTGCTTGCATATTCACGTCGCGAACGTGTTCCACAACTTTGGATTAGCCCATTCTTCACTTAATGATTCTTTAGCCCATTCTTCACTTAATGATTCCACTTGCGCTGGTCTACGTTGCCCAATATATGATAAATCAAGGACTGGTATGTTGCTCCTTTGCTGGCTGTATGCTCTTGATATCTTTTACATGTGTTTACAGGCTCAGTTAATTATTTTCAAGTGCTCCGAGGGCTTTCACCTTGACTATAATGCTCAATATCGCTGGTACCAGGCACGTTTCTTATCAGTTCTAGAGCGTGTTTGGGCTTGGGTGAGATATGGAACGTTTGAATCAGATTGAAGGTGAAGTGTGTTCGTTCGAAGCCCGCTAAGTTTTTTTAAATAGCGATCCGAGAACTACAATCTTGGTTCTACTTCAGGGCAGGGGATCATTTCTTAAAACTTCTGTCAACATCCAGGACATTGGTGCGAAAGATATGATACGCAACAAAATGATACCATCTTCGAATGTTTACGTTATTTCCTGGCCAAACGAGGGCTTTTTAGATGAACGTTTTATATTGGCCCGACCGTTATCGACCTTCTCGTCTTCTCAGGGCCTAAAATGGACTCGAGAGCTTTTCAATTTTGTCAACCTTCACCCGACAAGCGCCATTCCCCACTCTAGCGTTTCGACGTCGTTGATTCCAGCAAACCCCGAGAACCAGCGAAACCGCGCCGTCAACTCACCGAGCGTCCACCGTGCGGCAGCTAGCTCACGCATAGTGTCAGTATGTAAGAAAGCGAATGAGCTTCACTAGAGTCTCATCGTCCATACTCAGCCAAAATCTGCATCATGTGCAGTCGCCCTTTACTGTAGCTCGCATTCTGATACAAACGGCAAGAACTCATTAGTAATTGACGGACATTCGTTTCGGCCGTTCATCCTTGGTTTTCTCGCAAAGATCCAAAACGATTCCAGGGCTTTCCTGGAAGAAATCTCTGTCTCGTACCCGAGTATAGTACAGCTCACATCAAAGTCATTCCCGTTATGCTCCTCAATCTTATGCTTGCCAAGAGGAGTTGTCATCATATCACGCCTCTTCCCAGCTAGGTGTTCCTTGACGCGAGTAGCTAAGTCCCTTCCTGTTTCCCCGATGTACGTGCTGTTACAAGCCCTGCATTCAAGTTGGTAAATTACCCCGGTTTTCTCACAATCTCCTACCCTTCCATATGGGCAAATAACGCAACCTGGTGTCATGCACTGCCTATCGTACAGTCTATTGCGAACAAGTTGGCGTTTTGATGTTGCTATTGGGAATGCTCACCAAGACAACATCATCCTGCAACTGTGCTCTCACAATACTGCGACGTATTTCAGTGCTGATGTCATCGGAAATAAACGGAAGGCACAAGGGTAGCTTTCCTTGGCGTGATACATGTCGAAGGCTGGCATTCGATGCTCTACGATATGCTCGTACCGCATAACCATTTTCTCCAGCAACTTTCGAAGCTAGAGCTCTCGATTCCTGTCGTTCTTCCTCGCCTGTGCACATCCTGGTTGCAGTCGTGATCATGTTCCTGATGACTGCACGTTTTACTGCAACAGGATGTGAAGACGTTGCGTGAATCAGGATATTCTTACAGCTGGGTTTGCGGTACCACTTTACTTTAGCAATGCCATTGGACAGTTTCACCTGCGTATTCAGATATGGTAGCCAACCGTGTTTTGGTACTTCTCGTGTGAGCCTGACTGATAACTTGCGACTGCGCTCAAATTTAAGTAATCGGCAAGCTATCTCATCTATTTCGGGCATTGAGTCTGATGTATAATAATCGCAAACAGTCGTCGATTGTACCTTGCAGTACATCAAAGTCGATGAGCGACTCAACTGGATTGTTCAAATTCGCCGTATAAAGCACAGATCGCGGAGTACTGCGTGTAGTCGCTGAGGGCCGATGCCAAGCCTTGACTTGAGAATTAATTTAGGCGCTGGACCATTGTGAGAGATAGTGGAGACGAAGCATTCCTCAACCAGAGTCATGAATGGTGACGATCTATATTCAGTCCAAAGGGTATTAATAGCGGGCAACATGGCATAATCAGCGATCTTCTGAACAATGCCTGCCAGGCGCTTGTTCGTTTTGGACGCTTCGGTGGTAAAGCTGCAGCTGACCATCAAACGCCACTCCACTACACAACAGGTCCCGAAGTTCGTAATTGTGTAGCTAAGCGGGTGGAATGAATGGCTCGTGTTGGTCAGGTGAGAGGGGATCTTGGTCAGCAACTGGCTCACTATTGTGTTGAGGTACCATGATATCCGGTCGGTTGGTCCACCAACGCAGCTTATAATAGGTCTTATTTTATATGTGCCCGGTGCCCTTGTAACAGCACGTACATCGGGGGAAACAGGAACGGACTTAGCTACTCGCGTCAAGGAACACCTAGCTGGGAAGAGGCGTGATATGATGACAACTCCTTGGCTAAGCACAAGCAAAAAAAGATAAATAAAAAAAAAAAAGAAAAAAAATAAGGAAATGATTGAGGGAGCATAAGCCGGGGATAGACTATTGATGTTGGAGCGTGGATAGCTCCATACTCGGGGGTACGAGATCAGAGATTTTCTTCGCAGGAAAGCCCTGGAATCGTGTTGGGATACTGTTGCGAGAAAACCCAAGGGTGAACGGTCCGAACGAATGTCCGATCAAATTCTAATGAAGTTCTTTGCCGTCCCGCATTTGTATCAGAATCGCGAGCTAATCATGTAAGGGGCGACGTGCAGCAGATGATACAATCTTTTCGGGCTGATAGTGGGCAGCGGGATGAGCTCTGAGTGAGACTCATTCGCTCGTTACATATACATTAGCTGAACATTAGGTGAGACTATGGCTCGGCGCCGCGGTCGGAACCTCGGGTGAGTTGAGCGCGTTATTGCTGGTTCTCGGGGCGAATTTCAGCGAGACAACGACGTCGGCGGAAACGCATTAGTAGAGTGGAAGGCGTTATCGGGTAAGTGACAAATTCGATAAAGCTCTCGCAGCCATTGTTCAGGCCTCTGGTAAGGGAGAGAACGAAAAGTGTTCAAACGGTTCAGGGGAGTCGGCGCAATAGAAACGTTCTTAATCGTAAAGAGACGCGTCGGTTGCAGAAGATAATGCTAACATTTCGACATCGATGCCGAGGTTACAAGAAGGGAGAACTTGGAGATACCATCTTCATTTTTCAATCGTTTATTTATTTGCCAGTTTTACTGTCCCGCACTACTGTGTGTACCACATTGGTAATCCCCATGGACTGAGAGGATATTTGTCCGTTCCTTGTAGATTCTGCCAAACCCTTAGCTTCTGTTTTTAAAATACGATCTAGCTCTCCCTAATCCCCCTACCAATTGCCAAAGTCCAGTCGCGATTCTAAAAACATCTAGATTTTATTGAAAACACGGACGGCTCAACTGGCGAAAACGTTTCGGCCGCTAAATCGACCGTGTTTCGGTATTAGATTGAGAATGAAGGTATTAGGTTGTCCGGAAAGTTCTCAGCGTTTTGTGTTACTATTTTTTGTACATTCATTGCTGATTAAAAACTCATTCTCCCTTGCGTCTCAGTAGTACATCCTGAAGAGAATTTTTTGCGCTATCTGATGGTATAATTGCCGTTTCACCATTGCTTGATAAACCCCTTTTCCCAAGACTTTTTGAAGCATGTCAAAAGAGCAACTTCGGACGATATTTTTCTTCAACTACAAATTGGGTCAATCCGCAGTCGAGACAGCTCGAAAAATTAACCAGGTGTGGGGGCCCAATAGTGTTGGAGAAAGCACCGTGCGACAATGGTTCGAAATTTCGTTCTGGAGATTTCAGCCTTGAAGATGAACCTCGTAGCGGTCGACCTAAAGCAATACCTGACGAGGATTTGAAGGCGTTTGTGGAGGCTGACCCATCCCAAACAGCTCGGTTGGCAAACCCACTGCTCTGAAACGCATTGGGAAGGTGAAAAAACTCGACAAGTGGGTGCCCCACAATTTGAGTGACCGGCAGGAATTGGCACGTCTCGAGGTTTCTTCTTCACTGCTTTTGCGCAACAGAAACGACCCGTTTTGGACCGAATTGTCACCTGTGATGAAAAATGGGTCATGTATGATAACAGGAGACGTTCCGGACAGTGGTTGGATGCGACCACCGAGGCAATTTCCAAAGCCGAATCCTCACGAAAAAAGATTATGGTCACAGTGTGGTGGTCATCGGCTGGTGTGATCCACTATAACTTTTTGTCACCAGGCCAAACCATCACAGCAGAGTCCTACTGTGAAAATGACGGTACCGAAAATTGCGTCAGCTGCAGCCAGCACTTGTCAACAGAAAGGGTCCGATTCTTTTGCATGACAACGCCCGCCCACACGTTTCACAAATCACTATCCATAAATTGAACGAATTGGGGGTTGAAGTTCTACCTCACCGCCATATTCTCCAACCGACTATCACCTTTTCAAACATTTTCAGAACTTCCTTGCTGGAAAATACTTCATCAATCAGGACCAGGCAAAAAAAGCCTTCGTGGATTTCGTGGATTCTCGACCACCCAGTTTTTTCTTTGATGGGATTTATCGACTGGTGTCACATTGGCAAAAGTGTGCTGATTCGAACGGTGCTTATTTCGATTAAATCCGATGAGTATTAAGAAAGTTATGATCTGATCGTATCACAGGATTCCTGAGTTTCGCTCCCGTGTTCTTCTTGTTGAATGAAACTCTTCAAGATATTTATTTAGCAACGTTTCGGGCCTTAAGCCCTTCTTCAGGCCTACAATATATACAATATAATATCTACCGATCACACTTAGGCATCACTTCTAGCTAAAGTGAACAAGAAACTATTGGCGATACGAAATATGCGACTAACCGAATATAAGGCAGTGGTTTTGGTCCAGGGGAACGGGTTCTTCCCGGGAACCACGTGAATCACTGCAAATACTATTGGATGGACACGGAAGGGGGAGGGGGTAAGGCATATGGCGAGGACTCACCTATCTAGCTGTCCACTCTTGCAGAAATGAAGCAGCTAGATCGGTGGTGGGGAGGGCAAGGGTGATGTCGTCTGATACCCTCCAAGTCACCATATGTCACGTAATGGTCATTCAGTCACATCCTATAGTGTTGTGATCTCCACACTTGCTCGCAGTTCCTCCCTGTTGTTGATTGGAGGACGCCTTCGTCGTATTTCCAATGCCTCTTTTATCTTTTCCACCGGGTCACAAACGTTCTTGTGAAGGACGCGGACCTTTATCTGGGGCGTGCTCTCGTGAGTGTGCCGTAAAGAACGGTGTCGCGAGAAAGGGTTCTCCAGGATAACTGCTAGGATCTTT